CATTTGTATCAGGTCAACAAAACATGGGCATCGTAACAGTATTTTTATACTACATTTATCCATTTTAAATATAATAACCTCACTCCTTTGTAACAACTAAGACAAAAATGTCATTAATTCAGAAAATCTTTTCAGGACCCCACCTTGATGTTTCGGGACCCCACTTTGGGTCCCGACCCCACCTTTGGGAAATACTGATTTAGAAGGCATTACTATCCACAACGTCAAAAATTAAGCATGGAACCAGCTTTTCCCACATAACACCGATGTTGCATCGTGTAAGATGACATGTTTTGAAACGACTTTATCCCCTGTTTCAACTGAAACGATCCATCGTCGCGGTCCTACAAAGAGCTGTTGTGTTGTTGTAGCAGGCGGGCCTTTTGTGTTAAAAGACAAGCTGCGGCGCGGGGCGAACAGAAAATCAATGAGAAAGAAGTATTGAGCTGTTAGTGATGGTGAGTGTGTTCTCTCGGCCTGCGAGGTTGAGTTTGGGGGACTGATAAGGTCTTTGGTCTTTCATCACACTAAGTTGAACGAAGCACACCCCTGGGTACATATGGGGGGGTGGGGTCAAAAAAAGAGCAGTTTGTGTGTGCAGGGCAGAAAGGATGCTGGGTATGTCAGGGGAAATTTGCGGTTGCAAGTGTGTGTGTGTGTGTGTGTGTTACCCCTGGGGATTTAGAAGCAGACTGTGTCAGCTGGCCTCTGGGAGTTCAACCAGCTGTGCAGTTTAATACAGAGCTGTGAGGCTGGCTGCTGAGGGGAGATGTTTATCTCTAAACAGACCTTTTGTAGGTCGAAGGGCAGGGTCATCAGCTGGGTCAAGTAAGTGTTGCTATAGTGTCGACGTACTGAATCATGTAAGTTCAATAAAAGAAATATATTATATATATTATTAGAGAAATAAAAGATTACATCCATGATATTGAGTTGTATACCCTGAGCAGGACATATGGTGATAAAACAGAAGAATATGCATAGCGTTATTTTCAATGTTTGATCAAAACAACTACAACTCTATCATTTCTTAACATCATTTTAGTCTAAAACTCTGGCACAAAAGGCAGAAATGGATAAGTGTTCTTACAAGGAATGCAAGTCCTTCATCAGGGGCGGAGCTAGATTGTTTTGCAAGGAGTTGGAGGGGTGGCCATGTTTTTTTTTTATTTTGGAATGGGGGGGCACATGCAAAAAAAAAAGGCACTCGGGATTTAGAAAAATCAAGATTGCCACCACAGATAAATCCAAATGGCTTTAATTTAGCTGTTTTAAGAAATATTGCACTGGAAATTTGTGATCGTAGCAAAGACTGATCCAATAAAACATTCTGAATGCTAGTCACAACTTCATATTCAGCCCTTTTCTAGACACACAAAACTGAAGACCAGTGTAGAGTTAACCGAAAACAATCTTTGCCTAATTATAAATGCTAATCAATGATTCAAGATGGCCACCACAGCTAACTTTAATTGGCTATAGTTCAGTAATTTTAAGACTTATTGAGATGAGCTTTGTTGCGGAGTAGCTAACAAAGGTCATTGATCACATGCTAATTGCCAATGCTAACCCCAAATTAAGCTAACCACTAATGCTAATGCTAATTTTATAATAATTCAGCTATTTTTAAACATACACATCTGGAATTTTATACAATGCAGAAGTATCAGAGAAAAATGCAAATACAAAATCCAAGATCCCCACCCACTTGTCAATTATTTGGGGGTGGCACCTGGGGTGTCACTTGCCACCTTAGCCACCCTTTTAGCT